ATTACTAAAGTCAATCTTATCTGACAGCAATAAGAAAATATTATGATGTTTTAAGTTTATTCATATAAAAGCAATGTTTACAATTTAGGGCTAGTGTGATTCCATGATATCCTTCATTTGTTGAAGTTTTTTTTCTGCTTAAGCAACTTCATAACTTAAACTGTCACTAAAATATTTCACAGCTTTAGTACAAAAGATGAATGTAATTCAGTGGATGGAGAGAGTTCCTGAACTATCTAGCATTTGTTGATGGTCAAAAATTTTACAAGAAAAACAAGTATCGTACAAACTTGTGTTTAATTACATTTATTGACGTAGAAAAGACATTTAGGTTACAGAAATCTTGCAAGCTGAATACCATTGTACAGCACTCAATTTATTTCTAAGTTCACTAGGGCAAGAATGTCTTAAATTTTTTGCTAATAATCATTCAACGGACAGTGAAAGTGGTTAACATTTCCTGATAAAATAGAGGAATGCACAGATATGTTGCAAATCATGATCTATTTTCTCAGGACTGAAAAGTCTAAAACAGTCTGTAACTGTAAATTAAAAACACATTGTTTGGCCACAGGGTTTCTAATGAAAGAAGCAAAAACCAGACTATTCCACTCCAACATGATCACTTTAATATGTTGCATGTCTGCAACCAAATATTTGATATTAGTATCAGGATGATCATTTTCCATAGTATGTTCAGCATTTTTAATATTTCAGAAGGATCTGTTGCACCAATGACTGAGAAGCCAAGCACTGAACCAGGAGAGGTGTCAACAGTTGACTCAAACACAGAATTAAGCAACACACAACCAAGTGAGGAACCAAACTTAGAACCAAGTGAGCAGCCCAGCATGCAACCAATTGAAGATCTAACTGGGGATTCAAGTGGAGAATCCAGTGGAAAAGGAGAAATAACTGTTGAACCGAGCACAGAACCAAGTGAAGGATCCACAGTAGAGGCAAGTGCTGTAGCAGACAAGGATCCAAGTACAGCACCATCTGGGGAACCTAGCCAGGAATTCAACCTAGAACCAGGAGATTTTTTCAATATGCTTCCTAGTAAAGAATCACATGAGGATAAAATTATGCAAACAACCATTGTATCTCTCTTGCAACCAACAACAGGCACAGAATAAAGAGAAATACTTTGTAAGTTAATTTGACTATAATCTTTTTGAAATGATCTATAATATTAGAGATTTAAAATCCTTTAAAATAATTTCTTATCTTGCAATTATATAACATTTATTCAATAACTATATTACAGTGGTACCTTGGCACTCAATTGCTTTAAAACTCATTGAATTTGGTATTCAATGCATTTTGATGCGAAAATTTTGTCCTGGTACTCATTGTTTGTTTGGTACTCAATACACAGAACTTGTTGGTGTCAGCTGCCTTGTGACTCACTACATTATTCTCTATGGGAAAAATTTGTTTAGTACTCATCGTTTTTTATACTCATAGTGTCTTCCAGAATCAATTAATGATGAGTGCTGAGCTACCATTGTAGTTGGGACTAAAACAAAACAAATACTCTCAGTTATTTTAATGCTGTAGCTGAGTAGCTACAGAAATTCTGTTAAATACTTCCAATTCACACAATAATTTGTACCAATTATATAGTAAGGGATGTGACGAATTCAGCATGGGAGTGCCACTATATAGCTAGTGTTAATATATAAACCAGCAAGTATCTTACTAATTTCCAGCAGGAGAAAAAATGAATCTTTAGGGGAGGCCACCAGACATTGCTTTTTAACATTACATATTTTCCTAAAAGTATGAACTGACCTGAATATCACTCCTATAATTAATCCTTCTTGTTTTCAACTTTGTTGATTTTGCAAATATATTTCATGAAACATTAAGACAAACTACAGATTCCTGCATACTGTAAAGACCTGTTTACATTGTATACAATGCACAGAAAAGATTATTTAGGTAACTAATCTTAACTTACCTGCCTTGACCCTCAAACTCATCAATCCAGTACCAGTACTAAGCAATACAAATACCAACCCATAACATATATAAAGGAGTTGGTCTTTATATGTTTTATTTAAATGTAGATTACAATAGCATATAGATTGTATGAAAAACTAGAATTCTAAATAGATATAGGATGAGGGCTATCTGGCTATTACATATTTGACAAATGTTCTACTTTCTTCAAAACTGATGGTTTTGGCCAATAAAAGATGGCCTGGTCTCTAGACATATTTCCTGAGAGTCAAAATGAAGATACTTGTTTTCTTTCCTCCTCAGCAATGGGACTAACAGTAGCTGAGGGTAGCAAGCAAAATCTACCAGAAAGAAGTAAGTCAGGGGAAAACACCCTTATCTGAAACTCTTCATGAATACCTTCTTTTCTTTCAGCTAGTCTTCTGCGGAATGCTTGATTTTTGCATTGTTATAACTTCTAGCTTTTTGCTTTTATTTTTAAAACCTAATGTTTAATGTTTAAACATTAATGTTTAATCCAGGTTATTAAAGTTTTAGTATTCCAACAATGTGACATTACTTACCCTGGCAAAATCATTGTACCTTTACTAATTTCAGAAAAAGCAAAAATTCTGGCAGCTTAAATTTTCCCAAATTACCCTTGCCTATTTAGAAAGGCTGCCTGTTTGGGTCATTTTATTGTACAGATGATAAAGTCAACTAAATGTAGTGGTTAATGCATCATTGTATGCCAAACTGTGAGACCATAAATTCTAGTCCTATTTTGGCACAACCCCAAAATATTTTCAAGGAGTCTGCAAAGTCAAATAAAGAAATATTTTAATATTTCTGTTTTCATTTCTAACGTAGTACATATTGAAAGATATAACTCACGTATATCAAAACTCTTTGGGTTCCTCAATCATTTTTAAGAATGTAAAGGGGTCCTGAGGCCAAAATGTTTGAGAACCACTGGCAAAGATATATATAATTTTCAGTTCTTCATAAAGGAACAAATAAATATGTCAATTTCCTGGCAATTTTTTCTAATTTTATAAATAACACTGAACTGTAATTGGGAAGGGAAAATGCTCAAATTTAAATGGTCATACTTAACCAATATTTAAAATTTAAAATTTTTAAATGTCATTTTAACTGTAAAACTATTAAGTAAACATACTTCTTTTCTGGTCTTTAGTTTTTCTTTTTTTCTTTTCTTTAGAGTAATACAGCAGCAATCTCAGTATAAAAAAATGTATTGATAGTTTTCTTAAGCAGCTCCTCCATGGATGGAAATAATGGAATGTTCTAGTTTGGAAAACCACAGAGCTAATTCTTGCGCTTCAATGAAACACAAATCAATTCCTGCTTCTTTTTTCACCTTGTTATTCATTAAATGGTTGCTATCTCAGAAAATTACTCTTCTCTTGCATCAATTAAACTGTCTTAATGCTATTATCCTTTCCGCCTCACTTCCACATTCCCATTTGATGGCTAAAGAGTACAGCATACTTTGCAGTAAACTTAAAATAAAAAGAATTATAAGCTGTGATATCTATGGAGATTCTCAGTCATCCAAGTCATGGTTGCCCCAAGGGTACTTTTTCAGGAGGCAACTGGACTTTCTTGTTTTTCTTTGAAGACATTTCACTTCTCATCCATGAATCCTCTTCAGCTCTGACTGGATGGTGGAGAAAGGAAGGATTTATGTTCCTTGCAGACAGCTGGTCACCTGAGTAGTGCAAATGTAGGTGGAGCCTTCTTGGCTGCAGGATGTTTTCTGTCCTGTGTCTCTTCACCATTGAAGAAGACAGGTGCAGGCTAGTGAAGGGACAACAGTGAAGAGACACAAAATCTGCATAGATAAGTGGGAAGAAGTTCCTCCCAGAATTTTTTTCAGAGACTTGCAGATAATTCTAAGTAATGCTCACTTGAGGGTTCTTTCCTGCCAAGGATATACTTTTTTTGAATAGAAAGAAATGTTTTTTTTATTGAATAAATGATTGCAAACTCAACTTTTCATAGTTTTTTTTTGTTTCAATTACCTCACTTTTTTTATATACTGTGTAAGTTAAGATAAAATTCAATTACCTACATATATTTTTTAAAAAACCTTTTCATGGGATATACTCACTTTTTCACATGATTGTAACTCGAAAGTATAAAAATAAATCATTTTTGCACACAGTATAATTAATAAAACAGGCCAATCTGAGCAGCATACAAAAGCCATTGACTATGGCCGTGCAATGATCTGGATTCAAATGGAAAAATTCAAGTGGGTGTGCAAGTTGTATGTGTGGGCAACTCCGTAAATCACTTTTGGGTCATGTTTTCTCATTACAGATCCAAGTTATATAAAATGTAGTTATTTTTAGTAGAATAACCGATCTAAAGGTATGCAAACTCCCTGTTTAAAGTGCATTTGTTGTTTTCTCTCCTGTTTGCAAACAATAAATGTTCTCATGACAATCATGATTTGCAAAATCTTCAAACTGGCATAATAAAGATTTTCAACAGTTAAAAAAGCATGTAAAAATCTCTTCTATCCCCATTCTTACCCAAATTAATCACTTACAGCTGAACTTAATAATAATTTCCAGTCCTACAATTGTTTTTGTCAATGATACCCACATTACTAACATTTCATAGCAAATAATATTCATGTTTGTAACCTTTGTGTGAAATTGCTCAATACTTGGAGAAACTAGCTACTTTGTGACATGGTACAACAGTGCTTTATGTACATAAATATCAATCTGTTTTTTGAAAACAGCAGCACGTGCTACTAACATCACATAAGATGTTTAAAGTATTTCATTTAAGAAAAAGATTATACAGTTGGCATAATCCTCTGCCCATTTACTACAATTTCACAAGTCACCTTAATAGTGATCACACTCTCCTTTTTATCAAATGAACTAAAGTTTTGTCCACTTATTGAACAAAGTGTAGTTAGCTACATGTCATCTATACATAGAGTTCCAATCTTCATTCTTTCAGCTAAATAGAAGCTAAACCTCAAAGTCTTAAAGTTAGCTTTCAAGAGATCACTCTCCACATAGACAAATTTAATCTGTATGCTAACATTTTAATTATACATACTTTTATCAACACTATAATTATCCATATAAATTACAGAATAGCATCCAAAATAAAAATCTGAGAAATTCAACAAAAAAGTAAAGTTTAAAATGTAAATAAAGAAAACTTTTCTTTTAAAAATTCACTGGCTTCAGTGGGAGATTTTAAATTAATCTAAGTCCTCATATTTCAATTAACGAAATCTATGATTGCTTAATTTTGGCTTAATCATGCTTCACCATTTTTTGTGATTTATGTATCAACCCTTGTTTTGCTCATGCATTTCTCTGATCATTATCCTAGAAAAAAACACTGAGGTGTACTCTAGTCAAAAGTAGCTTTTTAATCTTGATACAGGTAGTCCTGTATCTTATAACCATGTATTTAGTGACCAAAGTTACAACGGCACTTATGACTTATGACCATTTTTCAGTTGCAGTATCCCCAAGGCCACATCATCAAAATACAGATGCTTAGCTACTAGCATGTATTTACAACTGTTGCAATGCCCTGGAGTCATGTGATCATCTTCTGTGACCTCCAACAAGCAAAGTCAATGGGGAAGTTAGATCTATTTAATGTGTTGCTAGCTTAAATGCAATGACTCAATTAGCAACTGTGGCAAGAAAGGTCATAAAATAGGGCAAAATTCACTGAACTGTCTTGGTTAGCAACAGAAATTTTGGCCTCCATTGTCATAAATCGAAGCATTCTGGCAACAAAGAAAAAAAGTTGTATAACATTTATACAAACATTTGTACATGAGTAGGTAAAGGACAACATAATGTGCCTGCTCTATGTTTCTTTCAGTTCAGTTCAGTCAAATGAATAAATTGTGTCCACATTATGTCAATATTTATATGCATTAAACTATTTTGTTTCTAAAATTTCTTCAGGTAGAAACAGTATAAATAAAGTATTTGGAACTAGCTTAGTGCTTTGTTAAAGGTATGGCAGAAGCTTCTTTGCTTTCTGTCAATGCCCTTGGTTGATGAATAAACACACTAAACTTTTCTCCCTGATTTGCTGCTGCCCGAACAAAGCCACTGTTTGCCGTCATAGTAATGGCCTTTAAAGTATCTCCTGTCCCAAAGATGATCAGAGAACGGCTATTGATTTTAGAGCTAGGCACTAATCTTAAGGCACGTTCAGAGGGTTGATCTGGGATCACATGGATTCTATCCATAAGTAATGTGGCTCTATATTTTTCTCCAGGACCTCCTATAGTTTCTAAAATAATCTGAAAATCTTTGATTGCAGATTCACAAGCAAACAATTCTTTGCCCTTCATGAATTCCTCCAGTTGTGGGAGAACACTCTCACATCGCTCTTGCAAGGCCTGTTCAGTTATGACTTTCTCTTTGAATATAAAGTAACAGCCTCCATAGTTTAGGGCTGAGATATATGTAATCAGAGAAGTAATATCTAAATTAACCCTATTGCATGTATTTACTTTCAACATTATAGGAAATGCAACACTGGCTATTAAGGTATCCCGATCTACTTTAGTCACTTGAAAGCATTCATCTCCATCGTCAGATTCACTAGAACTTAAGCAGTGATCTTCTTTAAGACACTTTATGGACGGGTTCACAGCAACAATATCCCCTCGCACAGATATACCCATCTCTTTTAGCCTTTCTGCTATCGGGCTGGGCAAACCATTGTAGAAAGCAAAAATAATGTGCGGGCTGCAATATTGTACTGGTTGTTGACAACTTGCTTGTAGGAAATCTTCTGCTTGTTCAATAATGCTCTTGTCACTATACTGGCCCCTACCCAACCAAATGTTATGCAGAGCTTCAGCTTTCCGACCAACTGCTTTCACCCAAGTGTGTCCATTATTTGCAACTACATCTACCACCAAATTTTGTTTTTCACCAAATGAGTCTTTATAAGTAAAAACATGGAGAACACCAACAATATCCTCCAAGTTCTCTGCTGATTCAATGACAGCTTGCAGATGAGTGAGATTTGTACTCTGCAGATGAGACTTTTTGATGCATAATCTACCAGTTTCTACCTTCTGCAAGAATTTTAGTTCTGCCTTTAATTTATTGCAAAGTTTTGGTCCACCTTCTATGCCATCTTTTTGGGATCTGCAAAGAGCTTCTGCTCTTTTAATTCGCTCCTTAGCCAGAAAAATTCTCTCACACAGTAACGAATGTGCAGACATGTCGGTAACATTCCTAAGAAAGATTTTTAAAAAATGTACAGTTAGTAAACATAAAGAATCTCTTCAGTCATGTTGCTAATGCCTATATGGCTCCATACCTGTAAGTAAGCATTTTTACTTACTAGTATAATTTACAGCTCTGGGATTCCTTGATCTTTTCTCCAAGTACTAGCCAGGCTTGGTATCTGGACTGCTTCTACAGTATTTACTTCAGAAATTAGCTTCCACATGATTTGCAGTGCTTTTATCCTTGTTTATAATCTTTGTTTAAAACTTTGAATCCATATTGATGCCAAAATATAGATGGCATTCCAGCAAAACTGAACAATATCTCCAATTTGTAAATCATGTTGGGCTGCCAGTGAATGGCAACATGAGCATCTGTTTAAGGAAACCTTTGTTCTATAGATCTCTACCTACCAATACTTTCAAGAAAGTTCAAACTCTAATAGTGTGTTTGTTTGGGATCATTTGTAAATATTGCTGTATTCTGCTCTATATATCACATTTTCTATGCTGCAATTGTGTTGCACTGGGATGACCACTTTTTTAATGACATCCCAACACATGAGAGGAATTCCTCACATTTTTCTATATGGTAATTTCTTTACTATTTTGACTAATATACTGTACTGGCCATATCCCATGATTGTTAACATAAATGCTTTAAGTACATAACATAGTACCACCTCCTGGGTTGATAATAGGATCACAATGAAAATAGATTTAAATATTCATCTATTCTAGGAAAATGCAGCTAGCATTCCAGGAATCACAAACAACCATTCCATTCTGTGTTCAGAATAGTTTATATAAGCTAAATTATAGTTTATGGATATAGAAGAGCTGTCTCCTATATTTTGAGTGATTTCAAGTAAATTGAATAAAAATTAGTTCTTCTGCCATGGCAGCACAACAATTCTGTGATAATTACACTTTTTAAGGAGGGAGGGAGAAAAAGATCTATAATTTGATGTAGATGCATCCCATATCCCACAGAAGGATCAAGAGAGATCTGTGCTTCAGAGCCATAATTTTTTTAACTATGGTAACAACGAAAAACAGATCTGATGTTGTTCTGTGGTCATTTAATATGGACAGATGGGCATAATCTGTGATCAGACAGAAAGTTTAGATCAGTGGTTCTCAACCTGTGGGTCGGGACCCCATTTGGGGTCGAATGACCATTTCACGGGGGTCGCCAAACCATGCTGTCCGCCATTTTTTTCTTTTTTCCCTAGCTGTCCTAGTCCCTCTTATTGGTGGCCACACCCACTTGGGGGTCACCACAACATGGGGAACTATATTATGGGGTCACGGCATTAGAAAGGTTGAGAATCACTGGTTTAGATGGATCTTATATATAAACAGTGAGGACTCATAAGCTGATTTTGAGAATATCATTTGGCAAAGTTAAAGTCTCAAATGCCAGGAAGCCTGATGGTGTGGGAATATGTGACTTAAAACAGCAATGTACGTGGAGTTCTTGGTGATTTTGGTTGTTTTCTTGCAAATGTTTCATTACTAGGTAAGATCATTATCACTTATGGTTACCTAGTTTGGGTAATGAGGAAACATCTGCAAGAAAACAACCAAGCTCAGAAAGCACCAAAGACCCCTCATGTCAACTGAGGTATAAATATTCTCCTTTATTGGAACTTTTTAATGCTCTTTTTGTGCAGTTCGGTGTGTTTTTAAAGTGTTTTTCCAAACACTCAGTATCCACTCACCCCACCAAAGACTTCACAAGATTTTAAAAAGCTCTTTGGGTTACATGTTAAGAGTGATTGGGAGAGTTGGGCACACGCCACCGGTTATCTGATGCAAGAGCAGGCGCCCTTTCCAGCTTCAGCGAATTCAGAGCGCTACTTCAAAACATCAATTCCTGCTTTCGTGATGCGGTAAATTGCTCAAAAATTTGACACATCATTGCAAGATGCTTGGCTATTTCTCATTTGTGCTCTGACCAAGACTTCCCTGATGGGAAGTCTGGCTTTCTAACATCAGCAGAAAAGAAATACCCCACAAATGTCTTCTCGTTCTTTTACCCAATTACAGTAAGACTCCCGTTGTCTGGGCTTTGAAGCCCTCATTCGCATAGCATCGTGCACGTTTCAAGGGTGACCAATACTCACGAGTAAGGCAGAATAGAATCTTTATGACGGGAGTCCCTGACTGCAGTTTCATCCATTTCCTCTTTATCTCACGAAGAAAAACAGCTGCGAATCATTCCGACCGACGTTTACCAGCCAGCGACGCTTCCGGTTTAGATAGGAAGCCGCCATATGCGGGGCGAAAGACTGAAAGATCGTTAAGATGGGAGCCTCCCTTTTGCTATGGTAATTATAGTCACATCCTCGGCTTTAATCATTATGTTGCTTTTTGCTGGGATAGACTCTGGATTTAGAATACAAATCTATCGGGATAATTGCGAATGGAAAGCAATCGGTCGGGATTCCTAAGTTAATCAGTCTCTCAATTATGCACTTGTATTAACTGCTATATAGTACGTGAGTGAACATGTGATCTCACCGACGGTTTTTCTCGAGTGATTCAATGCTACCCAATCCAATAAAATAGACTAATATTTAACAGAGTACAGATGCTCCATTTTCATTGTTTGGTTATTATTTTCATTCTTTTAACCATCTCTTTTCTTGACTCCCATTTTTCATTAACAGCATCCTCCATCTGATAATATACAATCTCTTTAAGTAATCATTTTAATAGTGAATTATATTTTTCTTCATCCTGCTTTTTTAGTGAGCATCTCAGAGATTCATCCACACCTCTCTGCAGTTTTATAAAGAATGGAATGGAAGTTGGAAGGGACCATGGAGGTCTTCTAGTCCAGCCCCCTGCTCAAGCAGGAGAACCTGTACCATTTCAGAAAGGTGACTGTTTAGTCCAAGGGTAGGCTGGCTCAGGAATTCTGGGAGTTGAAGTCCATGAGTCATAAAAGAGCCAAGGTTGCCTACCCCTGGTCTAGTCTCTTCTTAAAAACCTCCAGTGATGGAGCGCCCCCGATTTCTGAAAGCAATTAGCTTGTTTTAAATTTCTTTTTTGAGTTTTCTTCTGTAGGAATGTAGTTCATCCAAAATCTTTCAGTGGGCCTGTAATTTCACATCTGAAATACTTTCCTCCCCTCTGTTTAAATTAACAATTTTATCAGATCTAAAGCAGGAATTTTACCATAGCGTAAAGGTCCAATAACAGCTTATTACTTTCTTCCATGTTAGATAATAAACTTTCACATATACATAATGGTGTATGAAAGCCAGTATGGTATAGTAGCTAAAGCATCTGGCTAGAAATCAGGGAACAATGAATATTAGTCCTGCATTAGGCATAAAAGCTAGATGGGTGACTCTGGGCCAGTTATTTTCTCCCCACCCACCTCACTGGGTTGGTGTGGAAAAACAGGAGCAGGAAGAAGTATTAGGTATGTTTGTCACCTTACTCCTAAAAATAATAAAGAATATATATATATATATAAAGTGGGAATGGTAAAAGTTTTAAAACAGTGTTTATCATTTTCTAGACAAATTGTAACCAATTTTTGTGGGATTACATCCCATAAAAAAATTTAAATAGTTGTTTATATTTGGGTTGTTGGGGAGCATACTAAAATCAGAGCATAACAGATCAGATGTTACCATATTCATAGATGTTTACCAGGATTTTCCTCCTATCAGGTGCCCATAGATCCTTATTGGGATGCTGCCATTCTAGTGGGAAGGGGGAACCTTGGGGCTTTCTGTGATGTATCCATTTTACTTTGTTCATCTTTGCTTTGATGTATTTTCCTGGGAAATGGGAGGGATGAGTCTAGGGCCATCTGCTTTCTCATCTCCGGAGAACCATGGTCATGACACCTGGGAACAACTTATAACCACCTTGGCTGGGAGTTCTCACAACACTTTCATACCTCTGGATTGGTTATCTGTGGACTGGGCAGTTGGGAGTGATCTGAACAATGGGGTTTAACCTAATGCAGTGATGGCGAACCTTTTAGAGACCGAGTGCCCAAACTGCAACCCAAAACCCACTTATTTATCACCGAGTGCCAGATGCGACATGGCCCACTGGGTGGGCGTGGTGGTCATGGCAAACTGGGTGGGTGTGGCCAAAGTGGGTGTGTCACCTCAATGTTGCTCATGGGGAGAGATGCCTGTGGGGGCCGGTCAGGGTTGGGGGAGATCCAGGGGGTCTCCGGCAGGTGGGATGGTGGGCAGGAGGCTCGTCCTGTGAAGCGAGGCAAGGCAGGGTGCAAAGCAAGAGGGGCCAGGGCAGCTGCTGCCTGACACCATCAGCCCCCGCAGAGGCCAGCAATCACATGGGGGCTGACAGTAACCGTCAGCAGCCACAGCCTGCCGGCTCCTCAACCGGTGCACTCTGGGGCATGGCACGCATGCCCACAAAGAGGGCTCTGAGTGCCGCCTCTGGCACACGTGCCATAGATTCGCCACCACTGACCTAACGTGTTTGAATGGGAACTTTAGATCCTACCTGTTTTCTCTACAAATGCGATCTCTCTATAAAAGATCCTTTTGAAATGCTGTTTGCTTCAAGAGTTCAACTTTCTTGAGGGAATAGCTGAGGCGAGACCTTACATCAATCATGATATTCATTCTTAACCTTCCCTTTAAAACATAGTTAGTCTCTAGCCTTTCTAGAAGTTATAATACATGCAGCCCATAAGTTTTTTCTAAAGGCTCCTTCTGCTTCTTAGTGCTAAAGCAATATATAAAGAAACCAGACTATGACTGACATATACACTGGAGAACCATTATATGTCAGTTTCTAGTTAGATATGAAAAATATCAGAAATCCAGACTTTTGCTGGAGCTGTAATTGAACAGTATTTTTTATATATTTTTTATCTGTAAACATGGTTTAAAAATGGACTATTGAGTCTAAAAAGAGTGTCTATTAATTAGAGGTGCATGCAAAATGAATATATTCAAATTTATATAAACAGTGTTCCTAAATACTAACAATCCATTTTAGGTCAATTACAGTGTGAGAAAACTCAAACCTAGATGTTTGGATTATTCTGGGATTCATAAAAAATGCAATCCAGACAGGACAAGTAAAGCTTTTCCAGTTCAACTGCTTTTTTCTTTTCTAGCTCTCAGAACAGCACATTCAGATATGGCCATCAATGTTTATCAGCGTACTACTATATCCCCTCAACTTGCCACCTACTCAAATCCTGCAGAGCATTCCCTTCCCATCCCAGCTGCCAGCATCCTTTGTTTTTCACCACTCCTTCAAATACTTTGTCTGAAATAATACAGATTTCTCTTATTTTTGTAAATGGACCAAATAACTGACACGTATGAAAGGACTACCCAAACCCAGCTACTTTGTATACAGAATGATTCATAAATGGAACTCTTTATATATCACTAAATATATAAATAAAATAAAAATATTTAAATTTTAAAATATTATGTAAAAACTAGTGTGTGCGTATGTGTGTGTATATTTGTATATTACAGTGAAAACCCAACTGTTATACATATGCTGCAAAAAGCAGCACAGTTAGGAGATTTTAGTCATGCCATTTCTGCAAAGTAAACTAATACTGCTATGTCTAGGCAGGTGGGAAGAATACTAACACTGTGAAATAGTTCATCATCTAACTCCTTGTAATTTTTTATTTAGGGATATGTAGATTAGAGAGGGGGAATGAACTAAGTAGCATACAGTATGTTTAGAGCCCACTCTGATACTTTTTTAAATTAAATGTACAACTAAGCACAATATGTGGAACTCAGGATGACACAGGCAGTTCTGAAAGCATCTGTGTAATATAAATATAAGTAAACAAAGTATTTATTAAAAAAGGATGAATCAACTAGTTAAAAAAGGATGTTCCATGTCTAAGAATATCTATTTTTTCCATCCCCACTGTAAAATAATTTTACGTACTCCACTGCTCCCTGCTCAGAATGCTCACCACAGTTTTCCAAATTAAAATAAAGAACAATACTTAAACAACCTTCTGATCGGCATTCAGAAGGTTGCAAATATAGTCTCTGGCCACTTCAAAGTAAAGAATCCTGAAACACGGAAGAACTATCACCAAAGTAAACTTAGGATGCTCAGTGTATCATAGAAAGTTCTCTAAATGCTTAACAGATTTCTTGTCCCTAATGGTTTACATAAAAAAAAAAGTCTTTCCAAAATCCTTCAGTATATACGTAAGTCCTTTACAAATTCTTTTCCCAATATAATTTCTGCTATGAAAACCTGCAAACTAGTTCTACTCAAGCAGCCCTATCTTTCTAAAACTTTACAGAACCGTTAACCATTTCAGTTATCTGAACAGCTTCATGGACTCAACATCTGACTTTTGAAACAATCTTAGCAACACCTTAGGAACACCTGAAGTTAGTATAATGAAGTATTTTGGAAATTTAATCAGAAGTTATATCAATCTTTATATTTTTTTAGATTGTGTAAATATTCTTGTACATTGTTTAATATTTTAATTAGTTTCACATTTTAGTGGCATGTGAATCCATATTCCTTTTTTAAAAAAAAATCTACAGGATTAACAAAGAATTAAAATCAGAAGCCACTAATATAAATGAAGTTAAAAAATGAGAGCAGTTTTATGTTCTCATCAATCCAGATTAGGCGATTGCAGCCAGATAATCCTTAACCTCAGTTGGAGTGAGTCTTCTAAATCCTGCCTCATTACAGATGCCAACTTCTATGTTATCTTCAGTCATCTGTCCTTCAAAACTTTCCTATTAATGAAAAGATACACAATTTTGTTAAATAATTAAATATTAAAATGTCAATTTTGAAAGTTTTATCAAATTTAAAATGAATATTTTTCACCTTTAATGTCAAGATAGCAGTATGAATAGCATCTTCAAGCTCTAAATCTTCATTATATCTGCAAAAGAACAGACCTTTTCTAAGAAATTTAAAATATCCCTCCAATGTTATAACTATAAAGCTAAAATTGCACATGCAAAATACTCCCATAAATTCAGGTATTATTTTTTATAAATTACTTCATTGTCAAGATACCATTTTTGTGCCAATAAACAAATTTGAAATTTTAAAACTATACCAAGGACTGCCAGGAAAAAATAACTAACTGAACTGGAAGAGCCTGTTAATCCATAAAATGTCACAAAATAACAAAATTAGAATACTACAAAATATCCATTTACTAGAAAATAATCTTATAAAGTTGCTACATTTTCCTATGATTACCTCACTATACTGTGTCTCTGGTTCTGGACCAACTTCCAAAATGAAGGACTGCTATCACTATTGTTATTTTCGAAAATACCTTGTGGGCTCTAAAGACATACTTGTAAAGTAGGAAAATGCTAGACTCGCACTTTGTTACAGCATGGTAAAAAAACTGTTGCGTATTTCTAACTTCCCATTTATAGACCTCAGTTTCTGCAAAACGGCAGGCTCCACATCCCTTCTGTTTTTTTTTTCTTTGTGTATGAATTACTGGATTGAAGAATGGATACTTTAAGCCAGTGGTTCTCAACCTTTCTAATGCCGTGACCCCATAATACAGTTCCCCATGTTGTGGTGACCCCCAAGTGGGTGTGGCCACCAATAAGAGGGAGTAGGACAGCTAGGGAAAAGGGGAAAAAATGGCGGACAGCGTGGTTTGGCGACCCCCATGAAATGGTCATTCGACCCCAAATGGGGTCCCGACCACAGGTTGAGAACCACTGCTTTAAGCCTTGCAGTTTTTTCCCTGGGGCTGGGCGGGGATCAAAATGGTACTGAGATATCATTTTGCTGCTGATCATCCTTTCTATTCCTTCTAAAAATTGACTAAAAAAACAAATAAATAATTGTTTTGCCTACTCTAGTGATGTCTTACTGTCACCAGCAATGACCACACTGTTGTGTAGGAAGCAAACATAAAGGTATACTCAAGATTGTTTTAAAATATTATTATGTAGCTACATTGTGCATTTTAAATTATTTCAGGATACTTCAGTAGAGGAAATATTGTAAATATATTAACACAATACAATAAAAAAATGTGACCCCTGGCTTTTCTTTTAGCAAGATAGCTTCCTGTTTTAAATAACAGTACTTAATAATTTCTTGTGTTTTTTTAAAAAAGTATAAGTATGCTTATTCCTATCTTATAGAATAACCAAGATGATGACTGTTGGTGGACCAAATTCACTATCAAAATGAATTTTGATAATGTCATTTTTGTATCAGTTTACAGCACTACTAATATTTAACTGTAAATCTTCCAAGGATTCAGAAAAGAACAGTCCAGAAATGGAAAATCCAAATAAGAATACAAGATCTATAATAATTTCTATTCTGCATTACCTTTTCTCAAGAAATGTCTTTCCATTTACATAGTTTTTCCCCATTGCAGTTGCTTTCCATGCAAAGTATGCTCCCTGGAAGGTGAAAAGTACAGCAAATTAGAAACATGGAAATTTCCCAACTGTAAAAATTAATACAAAGAAGTTATAAAAGCGGATTGCAAGGAGATGAGAGGAATCTGATACTACCAGGCAAATACAGGTAGTTCTCGTCTTACAATATTTAGGAACTATTTGAAGTTACAACCCACTAAAAAAAGTGACTTATGACATTTTTTCACACGTATGATTGTTGTGGCATCCCCATGGGCACATGATCAAAATTCAGATGCTTGGCAACTGATTCATATTTATGATGGTTGTAATGTCCTAAGGTCATGTGATTACCTTCTAACAAGCAAAGTGAATGGGGAAACCAGATTCACTTAACAACCATGTTACTAACTTAACAACTGCGATTAGTATGATTTTGGTTATTGTATAATTAGTAAACTTAAATAGATTATGTTTAATATGTTTGTATAACCCTGTACTTTGCTCTGGGAAGTCGGGGGTGGGGTGGGGGTGGGGGTGGGTGGAGGATGGGTTGAAGTTTAAGTAACTCAGGTAAGTAGAAATAGTTTTATTGTATATAATATTGATGTTTCAATTTGGAGAGAGGAATTGCTCGGGCATTTCCCCTGGACCGCATCCGGAGCGAGAAGATAGAAGAAGGTGAGAAGCAAGTAGGAAGGCTGAGGAGAAGGAGGAGAGGGGGTGAGTGAGGAGAGGAAGAAGAGGGAAAGAGGCAAGTTGGTTAGAGGGTGGATGCAGTTTGGGGGGAAATGGGTGAGCAATACCGAAAGTGGTGTGTATCAATTTGTTTTATTTTTTTATCTGAAGTATTATTAAGAATGTAATGTATTGTAAAATTGAAAATAAAAACTTTTTACAAAAAGAAAAAAATAACTGCAGTAATTCACTAAACAATTGCGGCAAGAAAAATCATAAAATGGGGCAAAAGTCACTTAACAATTGTCTCACTTAGCAACAAAATCCTGCACTTCAAGTGTACTAGCTTTGTTTTACGGCACCTAGAAAGACCTCTTCAGATTTTGTTTCAGTAGAATTTCCAAAATACAACAAATTTGCTTTAAATCTGTCATAAAAAAAATCTCTGTTTTATGAAAAATCCTGGTATTCTATAGCTGCGAGATGAATGACATAATAATGGGCTAAAGTAATAAACATTCTGACAGTGTAGAAAAGGGATTTTATCTCAGGATTATTCTGACTACTGGTGGAAACTGCCACCGCTTGAGCCTTCTCCCCACCCACCATACGGGGGGGAGGGGAATGAAATTCTTAGGTAGGCATTTTGTGCAAAGTATGCAGATTGCAAATGGCAATCACATAACATGGGTCACTTGGCAAACAGTCATATGAGCAGGTGCTCAGACACCCAGATTATGTGGCTGTTGGGGTGTGCAGTGTTTTGCGATGATCGGAAGTGTTTACAGGCTGTAAAGTTCCTATTCCAACCCATTATTTTTGAACCATCATTATCTTTAAAGCCCTGCATGGCATGGATCCAGGTTACTTGAGGAACCATCTCAGCCCACTGGAACTGGCACTTCCCACCTGTGCTGGCAAAGGAGGCATCCTGTCAACAAATTCTGGCTGGCAGTATCCGGGAGAAGGACCTTCTCTGCCATGGCACCGGCTCTTTGAAACATTGTTCCCCATGCAAAAAATTTGCCCCCTCCCTCCTATCCTTCTGCAGGAGCCTGACAACCTGGCTCTGCCAGATGGGTTGGGGCTCCAACAGGGTAGCATCACACTGGACATGGTTGATGAATAAAAAGGGAATCCACCTCCCATCCGCACATCCTTCTCCATCCCTTCCCATCTTTTTTTCTATAATTCTATTTTTCATTGTAATTTCCATTTTTATTGTTTTAGAAATATTTATCTTTAATGCTTCTAATGCTGCAAGCCGCCCAGGATCGCTTCAAAACGAGATGGGTGTCAAATAAATGTAATAAAAAATAAATTAAATTAAATTTTAAAAAGTTAAGGTTACAGATATGAAAGTACCACATATAGTCACATATAAGCCCATCTGTGGATAAACTGACCCTCAAATTTTTTGTATGTTTTGCTTTTCACAACTGGTTCATCAATTGGTTTATTTTTCGTTATGACTGAAGATAGATTAATCCAACAATACATACTGCATATATGGGCACTTTAAAAAAATATAATCACAGGTAAGCCCATCAATGGATAAGCCAAACCCAATTTTTGAGGGGGAATTTTGACACTTAAAATTCTTGGCTTGTTCATGAATATACATGGCAGCATCCTTATGTTACTTTCTATACAAACAGATTAACAAAAAAAAAATAGGAGAGCTATGACAGGACAATCAAATACATTTTATAACAGATTATCAATTAAATCACCTAAATTACAAGTAATCTTGACAAGATAAAAAGAAATCTGGCTATTTTATAATCTAGGAACTCATAACCAAAGATAAAAGTAAGCTTTTTGGACAAAATTTGGAAATCACTATAGCAAAAAGTTTTGCTGGTGAATGTTGAAACAGGCAAATAATACTGACAGGTATTGAATGTGCTACCTAATTACACAGATCTAGGTCTCCTCATATGATTTTAAAGCTCACCACCCAAGCTGTTCTAGTAGTTGTGAACATTTTATCCTGAGTTCTTAACCATAAATTATACATATCTTTTCCTTAAATCTTACTGCAGAAAAAGTTCTTAAGTTCTTCAAGCAAATAGCTAGACCAAGTTTTTATACAAAGCTATGAAGAAGTCCAATTTTAAATACTT